GGTGTGCTTATTCTGAAACAGAGATGGGGGTGTGGGAGAGGTTGCTGTAGCATCCAATACTTTACTGACATCTTCGATGCTATAATTGAGTCCTTGCCAATCTGTGGACATGGGCATCCTTCTTAGGCCTGGAAACCTCACAGTATTCCTTGTGTAGCCCATGTTTGTTTCTAATGGCTGCAGTAACCAAAATCTGGAAAAACTAATCTCTGTTCTTTAATGCTCTGTTCTTTCTGCTCTGCCAGATATTAAAGTTGGATGATATTTTAGATTCTTTATGGTGAGTGATGTCACTCATGCATTTTCTCTTTTTCTTTGTTATGTGGTTGATTGGTTTTCTTTCCTTTTTCGGTGCTGTATCAAGTGCATGCAAGAGGATGAACTGTGGTGCTGTCCTTCACCTCACCTGCTGCACCAACTTGCAGTCTCATCTTACCCCTTCACCCACCCCCCCACCGCAGTTCCCCATGATTTGTTCTGCTGTTCATGGTGGGGTAACAGCTCAGAAATCTTCCTTCTCCCATCACTCAGGTTGAGGACAGTAGGCATACCGAGGTGAAGTCATTGATGGGTTTGCATTGCCCTCTTTGTGAAAGGCAGTTGCTTTCAAACTTGACCATCTGATGGTCTTCAGTCTTTCTCTCTAGACACTTAAGGGCAGGCACTTGAATATGATGCTGGTTCTGATAGTTTTGGTTTGTTTGTGCGGTCTTTTATGCAGTAGCGAAAAATCATTGTGTATATGGTATAACAGATTTTTGTGTGAGTAACTAAGCTGCAGGCCTTACTGCTTTCTTCATCTTTTTAGTGCCTTTTAGGAAGGTGGTACATTTGAGAACAGAGCAAGGGTTTATATATTGCCTAAAGCAGAGACAGTGGCTGGGACTTTTTTTCTTTTTAGTAAGCCAGTCTCTTGAAAACATATCTGCATAGCTTTTCTGATTCACACAGCTTTTATGACAGTGTTCTTACCAGCTGCAGTTAGTGATTGTCTATAGGAACAGTTTTGCCTCTACATTTTTGCCTGAAGGGAAGGGGGGATACATTTGAGACTTCCTATTATGAATGTTAAAAATAATGCCTGGTTTAAAATTTGTACTGTATGTGTAGTAGGATTAAATAGGTATCTCCTACCAAACTGTAATCATTCGTCAGTGTAAAGTAATACAATCTGTTTAAAGCTTGTATATGTTTGAGGAATTTATATACTGTATTTTAAAACATAATCCTTTCTTTCCTCCTTATCGTAGGAAATGAAGAATGTAAACTTGGGCAGATGATCACAGTGTGTACATCATGAGGGTTTCTAAGCCAAAATTACTCATGTCAGTAAAAATATTGTGATATGGTACTTCATTTTAGCGTTATTTAGAGGATAGATGGACTGTGGTCATTGGATATATGATGTTTTAAAGGGTTGGTGGTTGGATGTATGATGCTTGAATAAGTACTGTTCAGTTTCTAATTGGAAAGTAAAATAAAACCCCAACCTGTTTACAGGTGCTGAGTTGATGGACTGTTATTGCTCTATGGTATATATGTTTTTTATTATTTTTTTAAAAGAAAAAAAAATCCTATCGCCTGACTGCTTTTTGTGAAGCTTCAGTTTCTGAGCACAACTGCATGTTGGCATAAAGTATGGATTTTCTGCAAATTTGCCCCTGCTGCAACTGGAAATACAGTTATTTGAACAGGGCAGCCTTTTAAATTTAGATGTACAATTTCTAGTAACCTAGAAAACTAAACCCTTTTGAAAGTTGTAATTTACCTTGTTCCCAAAACTAAAGAAATGAAAGAATCTTCTCGGATTGTTAGCTCTGTTGAAGAAATAATAGTATGCTACTGGATTAGTGTTATCCATACCTGTCTTCAGTGACAGAGCAGGCACCATACTCTTTAAAATTTTTGTGACACAATTATTAATGCAATTCTTAAATATTAGATGAAAAAGTTGTTTTCTTTTTAAACTGAGGTTGAATAACAAGAAAAATATTACTTGTTCATCTGGTATAAAGTATTGCAGTGTTGAATAACTGGCCACGCCAGTTTCTGTAGGAGATGAAATGGAGTTAACCTTCCTGGTGTCTAATCGTTGTTTTTCAGAAGACAATGATACTCAATTGCTATTTTTATAGAAAGAAACTAGTGATTAAGAGATACAGGTAGGAGATGCACTTATGTTTAGATTATGTTCTGACTCAGTGAGACTAACCAAACAAAAAACTCAATGCAAACCCCACTTGTTTATCCAAATTGAGACAGTTATGAGCCAGAAATAATACTACCAGTATGAATGTCGTTCTGCTTTGACTGCACAATCTAAAGCAATAAAAAACCTACATTTTGTTTACTGTGCTGACAGGAATGTGTGTGTTCTTAACTTTCTGTAGCTCAGAGGTCAGACCCAGTAATACTGTTATTCATGTACATGGCTTCAAAATGTATACTGGAGCCTGTAAGTTTCTTGAAAACTTGTGTGTTAAGTGATAGGACTTTCAAGGTTTCTATTGTTAGGTTTGGTATGGGAACATCAGTCTCTGTAGCCCTGAACTACCCACAACCTTTGTCCTTTATTTTACCTTGTTAAGAAAAAAAAAAGGGGGGGGTGTAGGTGGATGTTGAAATAGTGGAGTAAGTGAGTGTTGGCTAATGGCTGTGTCTTATTCTAGAGCAAGGAAAAAAATCTTCGAAAGATAAATGAGATTGTGGACCTGGATTTGAATGATAGGTGATGTTTTGTAGATTATTTATCAGAGCGAGCCTTTCTGAAATGGCTAAAGCACTGTTATATCGAAGGGAAGGAGAATGGTATGTTTGCCATGAGGAGATTTTTACTGGATTCCACTAACAGAATAATCTTTCTTTTAAAATTATCTGTGTTAAACTTGAAGTAGCAGTTAAGAAATGTCTACAAGATGCTGCAAGTGAACAGTTGTGTTTGGATAGCTCCAGACCATTTTTCTACTGATGATTGTTGGTGTAATTTATGGTTTGTTTGGGGGTTTTTTCTTAATATTTTGCAGCAAATACAAGTCTGTTTAAAAGCATAATGATGGAACAGATCAGTTGAATTATATCATCTTACTGGCAAGAATAGTAACTAACTCATTTTCTTTTATTTGTTTGTGCGTTGCTTTTTAACTTGCAAGTGAAAAATTCTGCAGGTAATTGGTATATCCTTTCCCACCTATAGAATTACCAATCTCATTCAACGCCATCCTGCCAAAACTGACAAAGAACATCAATAAATTACTCTTAATTTTTTGAAGCATAACTAAATTGGAAATCTGCCAGTTTAACGTCAACAATTATTTTTGTCCAGGTAGAAATTTAATCGTTCAGGTCTTCATATAATCGGAGGTCTTAGTAAGACTGAGGGCTGCAGATTATGTTTGTTCCTATTAGTTAGAAGAAGGTAATACTACAGTTTCCTTTCGTGTTTGTGGACAAGAACAGACATCTCCATACTTAGAAGAAGTCTTTGGCTCTGGTCATCTTTTATGTATAGGGTATACAAGTATGTCAATATTCCAATAATTGGATTGTAATGAACAGTGGGCAGAGGACTTCTGAGGACTAAGCTTTCAGGAAAGTGCTGTGCCTTGATCTGTTTATATGGAAGTGGTTGTAGGCCAGGGTAAGGATACATGTGCCCCTCTTGGCTGGGTAGTATAACTTTACCTTGCTGGTGTCGGTATTCTTTAGAATCTGCTGCTTGATTTTAAGATGATCCTAAAACTCAGTAATATCAACCTCATTTTGGTATTTCTGTATTATGCTGTGTTGAGGTATGAGAGCATATCTATGGAACTGATGCCTTCTCAAGGATGCCCTTAACAACAGGCATTCCCCACTTCCCGGAACTGTAATGGAATACAGATTCGTAGGTCAGACAAAGATAGTCTGTCAGCTTTCCAAGTACTGTGGCATAGAGTGGAAATGTAAAAATTGAAGGTGACAACAAGAAGTAATTACTTTGATATATAAAACTAACAGCAGTGCTTAGTGAAATCTGGGAGCTATGAATTTGCAGAAGAAACCAGTTTAATTTTTGAGTTGTTGCGATACTAGCTGCTAGAAGCCAGTCTGGGAAGGTGCTCTGTTATTTGAGTATCCCACTTGAAGAAATAGTTGCACATGATTTTGTTTGTTACAGATCTGTTTACAGATACTTCTGTATAGGCACCAATACATTAATATTTTGGACGATGCAGGTAAGTAGTTTCATTAAAGCTCTAAAATTTACTGCAGAAACTGTTCTGGGGCATTTAATCTCTGTCACATATGTCTGTCACATAGTAGATTAGAGAGATGAGGAAGTAAATATATCTTAATTATTTATTGTTTCTCTGAAAAGCTCTCTGTATTGCTTCCAGGCATTGCAAGATTTGCATGGGTTTTTTTTATTCTGGTTGTGTATTATAGCTGATTGGAGTCATCAGATTGGAATGGATAACTGTTGATCTGTTGAATACAGTGTTTTTACCCTAAAATGGTAGTTTTGGAGGAAGGTGTGCGTTATGCTGGATGGAAAAGTAATAAAGCATGTCTTACACTGGAAAGTTATTTTGGAAGTTCCTGTTTCCCTTTTTTCTGGAAAGAAACTATACTGATCTGTAATAACAGCCAGTTTGCATCTTAATCTTTGAGCATTATTACATCTCAAGAACAAGTGATTGTGTTCTGGAGTTGAAATGGTGTATTCAAAAATAGTGTCCAAAGTTCTAATTTTTCCTTGTTTTTGTTAACACTAGTCTTGTATTGGAAGGGTTTACATGGGTTAGTATGCAAGATTCCTTATTATTGTCCAACTTAACATTTATGAAATACTTTAGGATAATAAACTTTGTTACTCCAAAGTTAGTAAAATGGGTGTTTGTTTTGGTAATTAATATGGACTACGAGAAAATGTCAAGTAAAAGTGAAAAAAAGACCACTGAGGCTTTTTGTGTGTTTCTCTTTTTTGCTGCCTAACTTTCTCTGTTTATTTTTGTATCTAGCCACGAGCTGATCCCATCCCGATATGTAGCTTTTGTTTGGGAACAAAAGAATCAAATCGTGAAAAAAAACCAGAAGAGCTCTTGTCTTGTGCGGACTGTGGCAGCAGTGGTAAGTTGGCTGAATTTACAACTACTTGAAATGTTTAAGTCTGTTTTTAAGGTATTAAAAATATTTTAAGCTTCTGAATGTCATCCTCTTTTTGGACATAGGTTGAGAATGAAACAAAACAGTGGTTGGAAGAGACTTATTTGTTTTACTAAAATGTTGTCATCTTAATAACTACAAATGAGAGAGATTAATTCATCTTTATGCTGAAGGTATAGATCTGCTGAGTAAGTTAATAGGGAAACCACCTTGTAAAGTACAAGGATTCTGTTATTGTTTGGAATCTGTTTAATCTGAAAACTCAATTTTGCTTTGTGACATCAAATGATCAAGAATTTTGCCTGCACATATTTGCAACATTTCAGAAGCTGAAGGATAAGCATAGTAATAAAGACTCTGTAGCAGTCTTTGCTGTTGCATATCTTGTGTATCCAATTAATATTTTTAAAATAAAATTATTTTGTTACCTCAAGTGGGAATTTAAATAATATTTCAAATAACATACTAAAGCTGTTAGGCACCTGTTACTTGTCAGGCACGAGATAGTGACTCTACTTATCGTATATGTACCTTGCTCCTGTATTTTGCAGCAGCAATTGCAGACTCCATGTCGCTGTTCTGAATGCAACTGCTTCCCCTAAAGTGAGCAACTAGGTTAATTTTGAAATGAAATACTGCAGCACACTTGTGGTTTGCACAGTGCTTGCGCATTGATGATAGCAAATGTGTTCTTGGCCTAAGTTATTGCTGATTCACAGAGGGACTTGGCTAAGAAACCTGGGCAGATCTCTTTAGCAACTCTATGCCATAAAGCTTTTTCAGGCACAACTATGGAGTTCTGGATGTGAAAATTCTCTGATCAGTTTAGCTATTCTGAAAAAAATCCCAGGTAGAAAATAGCTTTATGCTGGAAGAGGAGTTATTTGGCCAGTATAGTTTCAGTTGAGTGGACTGCTTTTGTTTAGCTGTGCCAGTAAAAAAACTTTTGCTCCCAGAAGCTTACAGCTGCATTGAGAAGTATTTTTGATAAAGCCTTGCAATGTAGACCATCCCATCCCAGCTCAAAGATGAAATAGCAGTGCTGTTTAAAGTCAGAGGCTGCAACATCCAACTGCTTGGTGCTACCTCTTTGTGCTGTCATCTGGTCTCCTCTAAACTGGATTGAGGAAGAACTGTAGTTGAAATAGAACAAAATTGATCAGTTCCCCAGTCCAGCTCACTGCAGAGCCATACCAACTTTTATGTCAGAATGAAGAAGAGGGAAGTGCTTGGGAGGGAAAGGAGTAGAGCAGCAGTAGGGTCTGTGTGAGTCAGCATTGCTTTTGAGACCAATGAAAGTGAAATTATTGTTTCAGTGTCTTTGAATTCAGAGTCCATGTGTATCATCGTTTTGTAGGTGTGCTGAAGATTGTCTTGAGTACTGTGACAGCTACATAAGTACTTGAGTAAAAACAAAACAGTTTGGATCAAGAATGTGTTCTCAGTTAATCAGGATATGTTTTGGATTGTGTGGTTCTGAATCTGTTACCCCAGACAGATTCTTTGTATTTAAGCTGGTGTGGTTTTTAGTATTTTTAAGCAAATGACTGAACAGTGAAGTAAGGAAGTGGCTTTTTCACTCCAGTATGCAAAACCAAACCCCATAGATTTTAAACTGCCTTCCTTTAATGGCTTACAGTTTCTTGTATTTTCAAATCTGTATTCTAATATTGAGAAATTGAATAGGATTTGTGCTTGGTTAGACTCTGGTACACAGAGTTTACATTAATTAGGTGAGTTTAGCTATCAGCTATTCTTCTGTTGTGTAGTAATCCCCTGGTAGGTTTAAGATGCTTTAGAACTGGAAGTCTTGACTTTCATGGATCAGCTTCCGTTTGAATTAACACTGATACATTTTCTCTGCCTCGTTAAGACTGAATTATCTTTAATTAGTTCATCAGATGTATTAGATATAAAGAATGAAATGTTGAGACTGCCAGTGAGATTGCTGGATGGTTAAACTTTAGCTACTGTTGCCTAACTAAAATAAAACCCAATCTTAGTGCAATATCTTGCTGCCTGACAGACATAAAAGAAATTGCATGTTGCACACAGCAAGCAAATTGTTGAGTTACCAGAGATTAATTTGCAGTGCCCACTACTGGCATGTCTGCTTTCCTTTATGTTTTTCTGTTAGTTCCTTGTGTCTCTTCAGGTAATGCATCTGTGTTCTGAAAGCAGAAACTACCTGCAAATCTGCACATTTCATTGATTCTACTCTTAATTTATGGTATTTAGGAGGAAAATGCATTTGGGCGGTGGAAGTGAAATGCACTGCTATGTCACTTTGCATAGGGCAGTCTCTAAAGGAAATGAGGGATGTCAGATGTGAGAAAACAATTACTACTATGAAAGCAAATGTTGCTCCTCCCTCCCCCCTCTTGCTCCACTTTTTTCCTTATCTTTTGATTTTGAACAATTGATAGACTTGAGAACTGGAATCGAACTCTACTTCCGTTTTCCCAATTGAAAGATGCAGAAGCAATTAAAGAGTTGCTACTAACAGGTTTTAAGATGGAGCTGAAATTTTAGAAAGAGGAGGAAAAAAAGTTGAGTTACTGGGCAACTATAATAAATATTTCAAAAAAAGGGGGGGAAAAACCAGCTGAAAGTGGAATACCTGTGGGTACTGTCTATTGAAACAAATAGTATGTTAGGCTGAGAAGGCAGGAGGGTTACCAATCAAAGATGGGTAACCCAGGGGCTGGAGAGCAGAACAACGAATACATCAGTCAGGTCAAGACAGAATAGGGACAGAAAATGTTTGGGAAGGACTGTGCAGAGATGGCTTTATAAGGGAGATTTAGGGTATGCTTTAAGAATAAGGGAATATGTGGATTGTCTTAATTACTGTGGCCTCTGGGAGGATGTTGCCCAGTTCGATAAAACGAACTGCTAGGAAATGTGTATGGGGAAAACCCTACTGTGTGCCCAAAATCCTCTCAGGTGCACTGATCGTCTGTGCTCGTAGCTGAAGTCACCCTAAATAATAATGCTTTCTACCTAAAAGGTAATAAAACACAAGGGGTTTTTTGTGTGAATTATCTTACATATTCCTAACATTTGTATCAAAGTTAAAAATAACTGGAGATACTAGCATGTCTAACTTAGCACTCTACGTAATTGTTGTTACTAATACAATTATTTGTTTTGTCAAATCCTTTGAAGAATAAACAAGCCTCAAACTTGCAACAAGGAAACAAAAGTGGGCAGGTTAAAGGGGTTGCTTTCAGTCACAGAAGTGAGACGTTCTGTTTCAGCTTCCTGATCTTACCTATTTCTGCCACATCAACGTATCACAAATCTTAACCTTTTCTAACTGGGATGGATAAGGATTCATTTTAAAGTTTTTAATTTTTAATAACTTTTATTTTAAAGTACGCCTATATGTATTTGTGGTGGAAATTGCTAGCTTTCAAAGGTCTAAATTTCCAGTAACCTGTTAAACTTGTGTGCTACGCTGATGCTGTTGAGGTTTAAAAAAAAAGTTTAGTGATTGAACCAGGAGAAATTACCATTTGAAATGCTGCAAACTAGAGATCGATCAAGTGTTGAAAACCTCTTGGCAGCTTTTGGGTATGGAGAAGATAGTATGTTCTGAATTTCTGTTTAGATCAGCTAGAGCTGCAATACTGTGAATTTTTAAGCCATAAACATGCTTTATCTCTTCAGCTCTTTCAAATTTAAAGAAACTAGCTGTAAAATTACTGAAGGTCACAGTGACTCTGTTTAACTGACTACAGAAATTTGTTAAACTATGAAAGCAGTTAAACAGAGTCCTTTTTAAAAGTGAAACCTGTGGCGATTACCAGTTCATGTCTGGTAGACGTTACTCTCTACTTGTTATGTTTACACTATGTCAATTATGTCCAAAATGAAGGGAGTAAGTACTATCAGCTATTAAAGAACAGTTGCCCTATGGTATTTTGAAATCTGAAAATATCTGTGCTGTCTCTGCAAATACATAGTGATGATTCTCATTTGCATTCTTTCAGCCTTTAGTTATTTGTGGCTCAAGGACTTAGAGTTACAGGTAGAATCTTCGTATTTAACACCAATGGGTTTTTTTTTCCCTTGAATTTTTGTCCGAGAGTAAAATCTAACACTTAAGGATATTAACAAATGTATTATGCTGTGTAATTGCTTAAATAAGAAATGTTATGTTGATAGATGAGGGAAATAAAGTAACTGTTACACCTAATGTGTACCTAGTTAACCAGGGGGAATAGATGTTTCTTATGTTTATACTTCTCAGTTATTTACTTAAGGCAAAGTTAAAATCAACAATTTAAAGCAAAAGTTACTTACTCCTTGAAATAAATGATTTGTGTGCAGGGTCGGTAACTGGAATTAAATGTACTTATATGGAGGTAATTGGTTTATGATTACGCTTTAATGTGCTAATATAGTTGTTAAGTCATGGTTGATGAAATAAGTCTTTCTGTGATATTGATTATTACTATAAGCCACTCTAGGGAGGATTTTTTTTAATTTCTTAGCAGGTTTTTTTTAAATGAAGCCCTTGTTAAGCTTTATGGAAGGCAACAGTGTAGCATTGAATTCAACTGTGCAGTGACAGAGTATATTTGTCACTTTCAAGAAAAATAGTCTCTTTAGGTGCATACTTGGTTTTAACCATAAAGATTTCTTAATGTATTTTAAACTGTATGCCAGGAATCAAATGGCAATGCTTTTCCAATAACTTAAGTTTTTGAAACTACTCTTTGAATTTATTATTGGTTGTTCTTTACTAATTATATTCCTACATTTTGAGAATATGCTATATTTACACAATTTAAGTTGACTTTTAAATTTTAACAACAAGTGGATTAAGCCTTGGGTACATACAATAAAAGGAAACAAAATCTGAGAATTGCCCTTATTAAAGTGGCTTTTGCATTTCATCAGTAATCTTTGCCATTCATGCCTCAGTCTGTTTAAAAACAAACAAACAAAAAACCCACAAAAAAAACCACCCCAACCAAAACAAAAATAGCAAATGCTCATGGATTCGTCTGTATAGTTTAGCTCAGTCTTGGACTGAGAAACAGTGGATGGAGAAAGACTGAGTCACCATGACTAGACCATTACCTGGAAAAAAGCACATATCCTGACTCTTGACAGTGAGAAGAGAGCATCCTTCATGCATGTCACATAACTGCAGCCATCTATAAGTGCAGCATGGCTTCAGGGATTCTTACTTCTCTGACAACTTAGGAGTTGACGTTCTTGATAAACTCTGAATATAATATGGGCAAAAACTGTTTCCCTGGGAAGGCTTCTCCCTTCCTATTTAGCAGTGCCTTTATCTTTTCTGGGTTAAGGGTACGCTCTGTTGAGGTTGTTGGAAGACATGAAAAATCACTGTCAGTATTGCCTAAGAGGTGGCGTATGTGTTCTGTTGTCTAATGTCTTGTATGAATTGGAAAGCCATGTAGGCCTTCTAGGCTACCACAAAAAGAAGATGGTCCTGACAGGGAATAAAATATAGTTTCATGGGAGGTGGTAGTTCAGCTACTCCTTTCCTCTGCCCCCCATTTTAAATCTTCCTTTGTAGTAAGCTTTTCTTGTGCCAATTGCCTGTTTCTTTTTTCTTTTTTCTTTTTTTTTTTTTTTCCTTCTTACTGCTCTGAAACTGTATTGAGTTGGAATGAAAAGTGCATCTAGTTTGACTATTAAGTTTCTCTTGTATATACTAAGTATATTTAGAAAAACTTACATGGTTTTATTTAAAGATTTCCTCTGTTTATGTTGCACTGCTATGAAAGGGGAGTGAGGTCAAGTTTGTAAAAACACTGTTTTCGGAACCAATGGCAGTTTAATATGCTGTGGAAATAACCTAGTGAAAATAAAAATTCAATGTTAGGTGCTTGTGTAGGCTATTCACAGGTGTCAGATACAGTAAAAGTCAGTGTTCTACACCTCCTCCTAAATGAGTTTCATGGCAGTTGCTCCACGTGTTTCTACAAAGTAAGTGAGTTAATGTGTTGCAAAGTTTTGAAAACGGCTGGTGCTTGCAGGGTTCTGGTGGTGCTGGCTACATCCTGTTGAACTTAAGAATCAATCTTACCAATCTTAAATCTCAAGCTTTAAATATTTTGGTTTTTTTAGGGCATCCGTCATGTTTGAAATTCTGTCCTGAGTTAACAACAAATGTGAAGGCCTTAAGGTGGCAGTGTATTGAATGCAAGACATGCAGTGCATGTAGGATCCAAGGCAAAAATGCAGTAAGTTAGACTGAGTGTTATCTGATATTTCTTCGTTTACTGTAGCTCTGTACTTAGCAATGTGCAAATACAAATCACTGATGTACAACTTCAAGCAATGATGTATTAAGTCTCTTTTTCCTCTTCCTCTTCCTCCCCCACCCCCCTTAGGATAACATGCTTTTTTGCGACTCCTGTGATAGAGGGTTCCACATGGAGTGCTGTGACCCACCACTTTCCCGAATGCCAAAAGGTGATAATAAAAATCCTTTCAGTGAAAATACTTTCATTCACAGCCTTTTCTCATATTAAGTGACCAAAAGCTCTTGAGCATGCTAATTATTTTTGCTTTGGTAAACAGTATGACTTCAATCATGTCAAAGCCAATTTATTTTTCTTTGTGAGATTTTTTTTTTTTTTTCCTCAGGAAAATAGTAGAGGTCTGGTCAGTTGACCAGGTGAGTTGTTGGCCAGTTCATTGAAGTTTTTGTGAAGGCTGTTAAAATGTTTGGAGTACATATACTGACAAAGAAATCCTTAGAGCAGGTGAAAAAGCCTGCTTCTTCATGCCTTTTGTACGAGTAATTTAAAAAACAGACAAACAAACAAAACACCTGTATCTTCAGGTTCTTTAATCTCTAGATTTCTGATTATGTAGCACTTCTCACTTCTGTTCTCAGATCTTTATGGCTTTCCCTCTTTAATCTTAAAGTTGCACTAAAGACTTTTTCCAGCTTTCCACCCCCCACCCTAAAATCCTTAACCTTATCTATAATAAAGTGTTCAGACATGGTCATCCATCATTAAAAGGATGCCAAATTCAAGTTGTATATTAACAAGCATACCTAGGTATGATCTGGTATTTTCTGTAGTGCACTCTGGCCTAGATTGCTTTGTAATGCATACATCGTTTTTTCCCCATGTCTTAATTGTGTCTGAAGAAAGATCCAGGTAGTATAAGGAGGGACAAGCTAGAACAGAAATTATTCTAAGAACCCATTTGCTCGCAATCTTTTCTGTGATCTTTGTTGCATTTTTTTTTCCCCTTTCCATGAGCACTTTGCTTTCAAAAATTTCAAAATATGGGTAGAAGTAGATCACTTTCTCTGTCTGCTTCCCTTTCCCTGTATGTCCTGTTCATAAGATGGTTTGTTGACCTTGTGTACTTGACATGTATCTTGGTAGTACAGATTAAATAAGCTGTGTACAATTAAACTTCTTTTTCTTTCTGTAGGGATGTGGATTTGCCAGGTCTGTAGACCAAAGAAGAAAGGGAGAAAGCTACTTCATGAGAAAGCTGCCCAAATAAGGCGAAGATATGCAAAACCTATTGGACGACCGAAAAATAAACTAAAGCAACGAATGTTGTAGGTTCCTCTTGAATTTTTTTAATGTTTCTGAGAATGTAGTCAGATAAGAGTTGATGCAGGTTCAAGTACAGTTTTTAACTATTTCAAGTTGGGGAAAGTAGGTGATGAGTATTCTGTTGTATGCCTTTCAGCCCAGTGGCCAATAACTTCTTAATGATAGCAGGTGCTTTTTGTGTCATGTCAAAAGGTGATGAAAAAAACTTCCTGTAACTTACTTATCTAGATCTTATAACAAAACTTGTACCTATAGCATATGTAAATAAAAGTCTGTATGATAACATATACGACAGCTGTCTTTTAAGTGTAACTTCAAATAATTGGAGTACAAACAGAATATATACTAAGTGCATAATACTGAGTTACTTTTATCTGACTTCAGGAGACTGTTCTGCTTAAAGATCTGTTCAAAAGATGTATAAAAACAGCTTTGTTAGTTTATGTCAGCTTGCTAAACCTGTTCCAAACCAGCAAACTGCAAGTACTGCAGAAGTTCCGATTTCAGTGGTTCTCTTCAAAAAAAATTATTATTTGAGTTCTGCTATTAAGCTGCCACTGGTTACTAGGGAGAGAGGTAGCAATTCCTCTTGCTTTTCAGGAATGTGTTTGTCTAAGACAAGAGAGCTGTAACTCTTTTTTGGCATCTGTCTTTCAAGGGATCACTGTAGTTGGACATCTTAAGGCTTGGTTGGAGGGTTGTTTAAGTAGCATTCAAATGCTGAGTTGACATTGCACTGAGTACTAAACAGGAGCAGATTCTGTGTTAACTCCAGTAGAATGTTGCCCTCCATCACATGTTCCTATTCACATATGTCTTTCTTCTCCTCCTATTTAACTGTTTGGCCATGGTCAACTCAGCAGCTGCTCTACCTACTACTCATTCTGTCAAGTGGCTGTTACCCAGCCATTTTTCTCTATAGTTTGAACACCTGTGTAGTATTCAGAGTTGCGCAGTAGCTGCTGTAAAACTTTGCATTTTGCAAAACAAGGATTTCTGGAGCCAGTAGAGCCAATATGTAAAAACAGAAGGAAAAAAAACCCCAACATTTGCAGTATTAGAGTACAAGCACACTAGTCAAGTTTATGTACTTGGTCCTGTGTAGCTTGCTATATTCTATTTCCCCTCTCTGTTGTATTTCCTTTTTGGTCCTTGTCCTAAAGTTGTGTATGTTGTTCTAGGAAAACAGTACAGGACAAGGATGAAGTGTGGTGCTACATAAAAATAAAAGATATATTTGTAGCAGCTCACGAGAGCATGCTGTTAAAAGAAGAATGGGTGAACATTCTTTTACTTCTGCATTCTCCTCCTGACTAAATAACTTAGGAATTTGAAGGTCATTGAAATAGCTATACAACTTTCAGTGTTGTAACTGAAATTCCTGTATATCGTTGTGTGTGTAGTTAAAATACTCCGTATATCTCTAGCTACACCTCTGGTTTTGCCCCTTTGAAGATTTCTAAGCCTTCAACTGGAGGTTACGGTTCTAGTACAGTACTGCCATCTTACTTCTCTAAAAACATGGCCCTGATTTGGGTTCCCACAGTGGATTTAGCAGG